AAGGTGTATATTGCAGAGCATGCTATGACTGAGCAACATTGATTTGCTGACCTCACTTTGGCCAGTACGCTCGCTCAGAAGGTCTCGCGATTGCTGTTCGCGGCGGTGGACATAGCACTAGTACAGCATCTGCCACTGAAGACCTGTTAATCGATATGCGGAAAATGACCCGAATTCGGGTCGATGAAGCGAACAAGATAGGATACATCCAAGCGGGGGCCAGGATTCACGACATCGAAGTCGAAACTATGAAATACGGTGCGTTCGTCTAGGGAAACAAAGAAGTGTTGTAACACTCTTGCTGATGGTGTGCGGTGCCGCCGGATGTCTACTAGGCTTGGGCGCGGTCGTCGGAGTTGTGAGTTCACCCAATTAAATCCCCAGCGAGACTTTGCCCCACTAAAAGGCGGAGGGATACTAAAGTGCAGTCAAGTATCTATTGGAGGCTATTATCTTGGTGGTGGGATCGGCTACAAGACCGGTTCATATGGCTTGGCAGCCGACAACTTGGTCTCCGCCACAGTCGTGTTGGCTTCAGGCGAGACTGTGAAAGCGAACGAGTCCGAGAACCCAGACCTCTTTTGGGCTCTGCGTGGAGGTGAGTGTCCGTGTTTACCCGTGCAAGAATTGTCATTGCTTAAGTAAGGTACATCAGGTGGCTCGAATTTTGGAGTTGCGGCGGAACTCGGAGTGAAGCTCCATAGCCAGAGAGCTGATGTTTACGCAATTAGTCTGTTTGCCCATTCAAACGCGTCTGTCAAAGCATCTAACCCCTTTACCAGGCTATGTATACCTGCCGGCACAGCTACCCCAAGTAGTCGAAGCGATCAACGCATGGCGTGAGGAACAAAAGGACCACGACGCAATCCAGTTCCTAATTACCATGGGTCCTGATGGCAATGTAAATCAGAACCTTTGCCTTAGCATCCAATGGCATCGCATTACTGACCTTTAGGCCGGGCTAGCCATACGTCATCATTAACGGCATCAGCAATGCGACGAAGGAAGATGGTGAAGCTGCTTATAACCGATTCCTTGAACTTGGTGAGCTGCTACCTGTTGTGGGTCCAGAACTTACCTGACGCCTGCACCGGTCGTTAAACGCGACCACTACCGCTAGGCCCCGTTAATGTCACGAATTCTCAGATCCCCTACACCGAAGTTAGCAACCTGGCGGTATGTCCAAAAGCATTAAGTTTTTTATTACGCCGTGATGACGGGGGCCTCGCGCTGCAGAACGCTTTCAACGACCTTCCAGGAAACAAGATGGTGGTGGGAGCCCACGTTGACGTTTTCGACCTGCCGCAAGTCCAAAGGTCATTGGATGCATGGCACGAGATTGTCAAGAAAGCACCCCTTTCAGCCCTTATGTATGAATTTTATCCGTACAAATCAATTGCAAAAGTGCCAATCCAACAGGCTGCGTTCGCACAACGACATGAGGTAGGCGTCTAAGTTTACTTCAGATGACCAGCTTATTCATATCTTGTAGTTTATGACTGTCCTGTGCGGCGTTATTTGGACGGACGAATCGTTCACCTTTCATGCGCGGGACGAGCTTCTGAGGCTGAAGAGCGTGGTCTCCGGGTCATCCTCGAAGGAGGCTCAGGAGTCGCTGGGATACGTGAATTACGCAGATCCATTTTCAACATTGAACGCGACGGACGAGTATGCCAGGAAGATATTTGGACCAAACTACCCCCGGCTGCAGGAGATCAAGAAGAAGTATGATCCCAACCTGGTCTTCAACCGGTGGTTCGCGATT